ACTTCTCGGGCTGGGATGGTAAATCCAGAGCATAAGTAATGTGCTATATCTTGAGACCCACCAAAGGGCCTAAGCTGTTTTCTCCTACATTCAAATTTAATTAGATTTCTATACATCTTCAGGGTTCTAGAAAATAAAGAAATACTATTCAATTATTTGCATGTAGATTATCCATACTAAGAATCGTAGTATCTTCAGTAGCCAATGAGCCCTGACTGCCTCCCGTGGGATTCCTATTCCTTTCATCGGTGAAGTACACTATAGCAATGGAATGTTACCCTCATCTTCTGGGGAAATCTGAAAGCTAAGGGCTAATGGGTTCTGCATGTTCAATCAATGCAGGCTCTTCATTAATCAATATAAGATTTAGGTCCTGGTTTTATCTACAATAGTATTGATCTTGTTTAGCATGGTACAATGTGTTAAGAGGAGTCTATGGTTAGCACACAAAGCTGATATCCAAAACATTGATAGTTTGAGGATGCCCAGAGTCACTTTGAAAGAAAACCCTTTTTATTTACTTGCTGAAAATCAGCCATTGAAAACCCTATGGAACACAGTTGTAGGTAAAAACACATAGGGTTTAAATGAACCAGTATCAACTCAACGGCAACTGATGAAAATAGCGTTAAGAGTAACACAAAACACAAAGGTCACAGTTTCAGGCAAAGAGCTTACAAGCCAAGTGAATATCAATGTTGAATTAAAAAATTAGTGTGTGAAATGCTTATGTGGAAAACTAGGTTAATGATCAGGTTCCTGGAGTGTTTAAAAAGAAATGATGATAAGCCTACCCCAAAATGGCCATAATATTTCCTCAGTGAATAATAAGTATTGGAATAGCTCATGAGCTTGGGAGTCACCTGGGAGAAGGTGATATAGGAGCTTTCTCCCTGGGGAACTCTGGAGACTGTGTGGACAAATCCTGTCTCAGAGTTCTCCACCTCCTCCCGTCAATCACTGCTCACTCCCTAGGAGCAAGGTGAGAAGTACAGTTGTAGGGAATGTTGTTGTTATGTGCCATCGAGTTGCCTGAAACTCCTAGCTACCCTACATACATTAGCTCTGAATCCTGCCCTGTCTTGAACCCATCTCTGACATTCATAATCTCATTTCTCCAGTCATCTCTTTCTTTATCTTCTTCTCCTTCACTGTACCTTCACTTTTCTAAGCATGATGTCCCTCTCCAAGGGCTGATTCCCTCCTGGCCATGTGCCCAAAGTATGCAAAATGGAGCTTCAAAATTCTTATTTCAAGGGAGCAGCTTGTTTTCACCCTCTCCAGAACATAGCTCTTTGTTCTTCTGGCAGTTCGTAGTATGTTCAACACTATTCTCCAGCACCGCAACTCAAAGGCATTGAACCTTCTTCTATCATCCTTAGTCATTGTCCAGCACTCAGAGGCATAACAAGTAATTGCGAAGACAATGGCCTGGATCAGGCACATCTTAGTCTCCAGGCTGACATTGTTGCTCTTCAGTACTCTAGAGAAGTCCCTGACAGCAGACTTCCTGGACCGTTTGCCCTAACTCCCATAGAAGCAGAATAGGATCATGCAAACAGAGAGTGCTTTCAGGCAGTGCTGTAGGGGTATCATGATTACAAATCCCAAGAACCAAAGACATGTAGGCAGAGTAGGTGATGAGAGTGGAAACAGAGTCAAATTGAAGTGGGACTCCTGCTTTTCTAACTCGTGTCAGTACAATTTTAAATTGAAATATTCAAACTCTTTGGGCTTAATTGTCTTATTTGTGAAATGGACAAAATTAATATCTTATAATTCAAGTTTGTTGTTAAGAATCATTGCCATAACAGATATATGAGTTGGCATGTAAATAGATGGTAAATAAACATCCATTTCTTTCTTAGTAGGGTTGAGACTGCAACCCTACACAGCTAGCTACAGGCCATCTTGATAAAGAAGAACCAGGGGTGCCTGCAGAATAATGTGTATGCAGTATCCTTACTTGGAGCTCAGAGCACTAAAAATAGAAAAGGGAGTCAATCATCTGATTTAGTGTAAGATGGTATGGTTGAGGAAGAGAAGCTGACAGCTAGACAGCTGAGAACAAGACAGCTGAGAAAAGGCGCTTTCACAATAGCATCTAAGCAAAACAAAGAAAACAAAGGGAAAGAGAAGACACACTGGTGATGGTCACTGAAGCAATGAAGAGGGGTTCACAATGACAACAGAATTTTCAACCTGTATCATCTTCTCTACCACAAATCCTCTCACCAAAAAGATATTTATATAGAAAGACCAGTCTCAAGTTGACTGATGAGAGTGTAAAGTAGAAACTAGCTTCTTCAAATGAGGCTTTCTTCAGGCCCAAGGAAATGGCATCTCATAACTTCAAAACTTTCAAAACAGAGAGGGGTATCAGAGCCATGGAGAGATGGCTATAAGCGAGGCCACCCACAGGTGGGAGGGGGAGCCTTGGGAGGGGACAAATCTACAACAATGAATGAATGGAAATCCAAAGCCTCTGTAAATTTTCACTGAAATGAATAACCAAAAAAAAAAAAACAAAACCAAGAGCCCAATTTCAATGAAAAATTTATTTATGTACAGATAGATATTCCAAAAAGCTGTCAAAATATGAATTTGTTATGACTAGTTTTGAACCTGTTTTAGATGTTCTTAAATTTTTCAAATGTCTCAAGTTTTTTATAGAGTATGTGGTAATTTTTATCAAAAAGAGTATTTTTTTAAAAAGAACACTCACAAAGCTCATGGAGGTAGATTCTGAAAGTTGCACATTAGAGAGAAATTGACACTTCACAGTGTGATAATTCACTTGGATTGATCCAATCCATGCTGAGATTAGTGTTGTGGTTAGGGTTGTTGGTAAGTGACCCATGCGTCCACTGCTGTTGGGTACAACAGAGATGCCCAGACCAGAAGGGGCAGAAGAAGGAAAAGACATGAAGGCCAGCCCTACTTAAGAGGCCTTCATTAAGCCTAGAGACTTGGCATTGTGTGCATAGGGTACTCACTACCTTTAGCTTTATGGTCCGGTGGGCAGTCATCTCATCTGAAGTGTAAGTGAGAAAATGGATCAGCTCTTGTGTTCCAGAGCTAGCTGAGTCCCTCTGGCTGTTCTGAACAAAGATGAATAGTTTCTGGTGTGTGCAATCATTAAATGCTTGGTTACTAACAGATTGGCCTTTCTGCAACAGGAAGACATAGCAAACTAGTGAAGATTGGCTGGTGCTATTGTGTTGATTCTGACTGAATTTGACCTTCCATTTGGCTTCTGAGGCTGTAAACCTTTATAAAAGGAGATGATCCATCCTTCTCCCACAGAGAAGCTGGTGGTTTAGGACTGTTGATCTTTTGGTTTGCATCTGAATTCTTTAACCATTAAGGCAACAGAGCTCCCGAAGATTGTAGCCTAAAAAAAAACAAAAACCCTAGGATAGTTCTACTTTGTCAACATGAGACAGATATTGTTGAACTTATAGGCACAGAACATTGAAGATGGAAGGAACACAAGCTCAGCCAAAGCCCAGGCAGGGAAGCACCTTGGAGTCCAGGACAAGCAGTAGACAAGGTCTAGACTGCAGGGAGCCACACTCCGGGGAAAATCTTGCCACCTCTTTTATCCCAGTTACTTCTTGCACTAGAGAACTTGGAGAAAAATGGAATGCATACATTTCTTAATATCATCTTTGGAAATATCAACAGGGTCTGCCAGTTCTGGGGAAGCAGAGGAGGTGCAGAAGAGAAGTCCAGTCAGGAGCTAGTTCTGCACGGAGCGGCTTCTTCCAGTTCTGAGCTGTGATCTTTGTTATTATATGCTGTCAAGTTAGAACTCACTCAAAAGTGACCCTTAAAGTGGGTTTTCAGAAGCAGTAAATTGCATAGGAGGAGATTTCCCATGCAGTTCCTTACCCATTAAACCAAACTAAGCAGCCACAAGGATGGTTCTGAAGTTTGCAGCAGGTGAGGAAGCATGAGGAGACTAGGAGAGAATTGTTCCTTAGATGCCACAAATAACACCCCTGAGGTGGAATTGACAATCTACAATCGCATTGTACTGTCTACAAGGTAGGTTATCATCTCAGGTTTGGTTTAATTTCTAGTATTTTTCCTGGGCCCATAATTGCTGAACTGTCAGTTTGGTATTTAAATTTTTTAGTTATATTTTTCCTTCTAAAATGAACAAATAAGCTCATCTTGATGTATATTCTTCTAGATTTATTAAACTTACGTAGAACATAAACACACAGATCCTCAGTATTCACTACTAATATACTTGACAGTTTCCAATACATTTGCTACCAATACACTTGGCAACTCCCCGCACAGTAACTGCTACCACGTCGGTTCTATCTCACAGTGACTGTCAGGTTTCTGAGGATGTGAATATTAACTGGAGGAGATTTTTCATCTTTATCTTGTAGAGTCATGGATAGATCCAAACCGTTGGAGATGTGTAGCCTCTGGTTCACTGTTCGTGCTATGAACAACGTCACCCAACTCACTAAATAAATGGAAACTTCTAATTGCTTTGTGGGCATACACTTTATGAAATAAATTACCAAGAATGTTATCTCTCATACTTCTCTTTGTTAATCTCCGGCCTCCCATTTAAATATGCTCTTTTCTAAATCTACAACTACTAAAATTTCATTTAGATCCAGAAGTGACAGGAGAAGTATAGCTTAGTTATAGGTGGGATAAATTTAAGCAAGCTCACCAATGCTTGAATATTTGAGTTAAAGTAAATAAATCTCCTATTTTTCACATGCACATGGGTGTCATCAGAAAACCAATGGGACTTACTGGTCAAAACCCGAAGTGTGTGGTTCTAGTCTAGGAGGAATTCTTTGCCAGTATTTCTTGTTTGTCAAAGATAGTAATGTGTGCTCTGCTCTGGGGGAAAGTGAGTGTGTCGGTGTAGATGCCTATGGCTGTGGAGTTTTCATAATGAGAGGTGTTTGAACACTTAACCCACAAACATTTCCCAAGAAAGGTGAGTGTCAGCTTGTACTTACATAGTTGGAGGCCAGGTCTGGATGGAGGTAATCAATCCCTGTGAAAAGACAAGGACAACACAGGGATCAAGGTCAATACCTGTCAATGGTGTCCTCAGAAAGCTGCTAAAGAGAGCTCCATCCTTACTGAGCTGGGCTGGGAGATTTGTGAGTGAAATGAAAGCTGGCAGCATACCCCCCAAGGCCTCTCAGCCTTGATCTGTATTGAGACATACCAAAGATATGGTATGGAGGAAAATCTATTAAAGCTTGGAGCCCAAGGATACAACTTCTAACATCAGCCTAAAGGGGCTTGGTGACCTCAGGATAGATGGTCCATTGGAGCAGTAATGTAGAAGAGATTTGTAGGAATCTTGACCTTTTAAAGCATCAACTGCCAGTTTTTCTAAAAGGAAACTGGCCCAGGGGAAGAAAAGTTATTATTATTTAACAGCATGCAGACAGCAGTGTATTAGGAGAGCATTCTCTGGTGTGAAAATAAGACAAGGAACATGACTCAGAGAGAAAAGTCATTAGGCAGAGGTCAGCTAAGTCCCAGGGCAATGCTCCGTGTTAGGAGCTGGAAATTCCGTTTTATTAGAATGTGGCATTTCAGAAAGTCTGAGCCTCACATATCTCACTGGAGTCCGAGCTTTCTTCAGAATGGACATATACTTCGTGGGGCAGAAGTCATCCCAAGAATGGCATTTGTTCTGGGAGCACTGCTGAGCTCCACACGAATCTCGGGGCTCAGGACTCACTGTGGGACTTCAAGGAGAAATTGAAAAGCTCCCATCCAGGTCTGAAAAGTCCACATGTTCTCTGCAGCTGCCAGCCCTAAAGAGCCAGGCCAGGCACCTAGCAGAATCTAGAATAATGGCTAAGAGTATTGGTTTGGAATCAAAGATGCAAGTTCTAATCTCAAGATGCAAGTTCTAATCTCAACCTCTATGCTTGAGCAAGCTTCATATCCTCCCTGTACTCATTTCCTCCTACAATATAAAAATTAAAGAAATCACATAGGGGAAAAGATTTTGTAAATTATTACCTAACTTGAGAAGGACTGGAAAGCATTATACTGAGTGAAATGACTCAGTCCCACCAGGACAAACACTGTAAAAAACCATTATTGTAGAATGAATACGAAGATCCAAGGGGTAGGGGGTGGGAGCAAAGGGGTGAGGGTGTGTGTGTGTGCGTGTGTGTGTGTGTGATTGATCATGGGTTTGTACAATTTGATGGGTGGGCAGGTTGAGGGAAATGGGAAGGATCTGGTGTGAAAAATAATATACTAGCATTTTGTAAATAAACCAGTATAAAAATACAATGTAAAATAGACTATATGAGTGACTGTATGAAACACACTGTAAATGAAAGATTGTATAGAACAATGTGTATGACTGAAACATACTATAAAACTATATGAAAATCAGTAAAAAATATTTTAAAAAAAACCAAAGAAATCAGTAAGTGTGGTATGTGTAGTCATACAACTAGTGCAGAATGACCATTTAGTTAACTGTTTTGGAAGATAATACTTAAAAATTACTAGTATCATTAACTCTTTGGCATAGTTGATATCTTAACCATATGCATCCTAAGGTCTAGACCACATGCAATGAGATGCCTTGCAAAAAAAGAACTTGATTCTGGGACAAACATTTCTTTAAAAAGAATTTTGTTTTTCCCCCCCCGCCCCCCCGTCTATACAAGTAATTTCTGGACTAGAAGTCACTGTCTTTGAGCACAAATTCTGTTTTGCTGCTGCTGTTTTATGGAAAACACTAGAGATCATTGACAACTCTTGTTTACTGTCATTGTCTCAGAACCAACTCATAGCTGACTCTTCTGTGGGTTTTCAGATACTGTAAGTCATGCATGAGAAGATTGTCCATCCTTATCCTATGAACCTACTGGTGCATTTGAACCTGTAGAGAAATGCAACCTCTTGGTTAGTGACACAACATGCTGTGGACAATGCCACCAGAGCTCCTTTCAGCTAGGGGCAATGTAATATGTACCATGCAGCAATCATGACATTCCATACTTCCACTCCTCTCCCAACGATAGAAGGAAAGATCACAACATAGAATGATCAGTATTTCTTTTTCTGGACCCTAATTCGGAAGTGACTAATTTAGTCTATGCATGACTTTGGCCAAGTAAAACAATCCCTCTGACCTGTTTCTTTATCTTTGAAAAGGGAAGATTACTTCCTCAAAGTAAATGCAGATGTCAAGATTAGAGACAATTCATTAAAGTGTTTTGTCCCAAAGAAATACTTCATACACTACAGTGTTGTTGGCTGATGAGTAAAGTAGAGTTGGAAGTTACCCATAGCCAACACTTTGGCAGGCAACCCTCAGAGGCAGTTAATTGCAGGGAAGGAGATTGCCCATTCCACCAGCTGCTTCAAAGTGTGTGCCTCTGGGATTGGAGGGCAGCTTCTTGCCAGTAAGTCATCAGAGTTCCATGGTGAACTGTGAGAGAGTTTTAATCATTATCAATACCATCACTTGTCACGTCACTATTGTTACTGTTATTAGGTGTCATCAAGACAACTACAACTCATAAAGACCTCATAAACAACAGATCCGAACTTGATGTTATCCTACACAATCCTCATAAACTCTTATATGCTCAAATCTTTTGTTAAAGTCATTGTGTCAATCCATGTTGTCGGGAGTCATAATCACTTCCTCAGACTCTCTGCCTTTCCCAGCATAATGTTCTTTTCCTTGAACTAGAGCAAATTATCCAAGAGGCTGGGCTCTATGAGGAGATGCGTGGCGTTAGGATTGGTGGAATATCTATCAACAATCTGCGTTATGCTGATAACACAACCTTGCTCGCTGAAACTGAGGAGGACCTCATGCACTTACTGCAGAGGGTCAAGGACTGCAGCCTTCAGTATGGACTGAGGCTCAATGTCAAGAAGACAAAGATTCTCACCACTGGACCAACTGGTAGCATCAGGATGGATGGTGAAGAGATTGAGATTGTTCACAGCTTCAGTTTGCTCGGCTCCACAGTCAACACTCTTGGCACCAGCAGCCAGGAAATAAAAAAATGTATTGCGATGGGAAAGTCTGCTGTTAGGGACCTCTCTAAAGTATTCAAGAGCAATGGTGTCTCTCTGGAGACTAAGGTGCGCCTGATACAGGCCATGGTCTTTGCAATAACTTGTTATGCATCAGAGAGCTGGACAATGACTAGGGAGGACAGAAGGAGAATTGACACCTTTGAGCTGTGGTGCTGGAGAAGAGTACTGAATGTACCATGGACTGCCAAGAAAACAAACAGATTCATCCTAGAGAGGGTTAAACCAGGCTACTCCTTGGAGGCAAAAATTCTGTGACTTCGTCTGACATACTTTGGACATGTTGCAAGGAGAGACAGGTCTTTGGAGAGGGACGTCATGCTGGGTAGAGTAGAGGGACAGTGCAGGAGGAGAAGACCCTCTCTGAGGTGGATTGATTCAGTGACTGGGGTAATCGGAATGGGTGTGTCAGAGGCAATGCGATTGGCACAGGATAGAGCAAGGTTTAGCGCTGTTGTACATAGGGTCGCTATGAGTGTCAAATGACTCAACGGCACATAACAACAACAATAACAACAGTGCCTTCTGACAGCAGGCCCAAAGTATGTGAAACCAAGTTTCACCATCTTTGTCTCTAAGGAGCATCATGGTTGCATGTTCTCCAACACAGACTTGTTTGTTCTTTTGGTAGTCCATGGGACATTCAGTAGTCTTCTCTGACAACGCAACTAAAAGGCATTGATTCTTCTGTCACCCATATTCAATAGTCAGCATTCAGATGTACAGGGAATAATTGAAAAGACCATGGTTTGGATGGGGTACACCTTAGTTATTAAACTGATATCATTATTCTTCAGTACTTTGAAGAGGTACTTGGCAGCAGATTTTTCCCAATGCAACGTATCATTTGGTTTCTTGATGGCTGTTACTGTGGTTGTTGATTGTATATCCAGGTAAAACTAAGTCACTGGTAACTTTAATTTTTTTTCCATTTGTCATGATTTGCTATTGGTCCATTAGTGAGGATTATTGTCTTCCTAAGGTGGAAATATAATATTCCTTTTTCTTCTGCAGCATATTTTTAAAGTCCTCTTCACTTTTGATGAGCAAGATTGTATCATTTGCATAAAGTTTTCGATAAGTCTTCCTCCAACCCTGATGCCACATTCTTCTTCATTTAGCACAACTTCTTGAATGATTCAGTCAGCATACAGACTGAATTGGTATGGAAAAAGAATATATTCCTGACATACACCTTTTCTGATTTTAAACCATGCAGTGTTCTTCTCTTCTGCTCTGTTCAACGACTGCTTCTTGGCCTATATATCCATTTCATGAGAACATTTAAATGTTCTGGTTTCCCCTTTTATCTCAGTGTTAGCTATTATTTGTTATGATTTACACAACAAAATTCCTTTGTGTAGTCAATAAATCACAGATTAACATCTTTCTGGTCTGCTTTAAACTAAATACATTTGACATCAGCAATGACATCACTCATTCCATAATTTCTTCTAAATCCAGCTTAAATTTCTGGCAGTTACCTTCCAATGTATTCTTCCAGCTGTTTTAAAATAAGTTTCAGCAAGATTTTATTTTCATGTGATATTAATGATTTTTTAAAAGTAATTTCCTCGTTCTGTTGGACCATCTTTTTTGAGAATGGGAACAAATACAAGTCATTTCCAGTCAGCTGGCCAGGAAGTTGTCTTCCAAATTTCCTGGCATAAATTGTTGAGCACATTCCGTGCTGCATCTGTCTGTGGAAACATATAATTTGGCATTCCATCAATTCTTGAGACCTTTTAAAAAATTTTTTTTAGATTTTAATGACAGTTTATAAAAAACTTGGATTTCCATTCATTCATTGTAGTACGTTGTCCTTCCTGCCCCTTCTCCTCCTCAGTTCACTTTTGTCTTTGAAAAAAAAGTTCTTTCATTGTTATACAGTCCTCCCTCCACCACACCAGATCACTTTACTATACAACTCTTATTTTGGACTCTAGTCATGCCAATAAT